TACATATATACATATACATACATAGATACATACACACTATATGTCAGAAATAAATACACCATTTTCCAAACATGCCTCGAGATTCTGCCACTGTAAAATCTGACATTACTGAGAAGTAAGTGTTCATGTGTTCAAGCACTTTGTGGACAGGTACCTTTGTGGGACCGTGCAAGCCTCTTTGGGAGCAGCAACACTGACAGTTGGCTTGGTTTCTTGGCTTGGACTCTGTTTGAAGACCGGGACCGTCTGGAGCTCCTCTCTCAGAGGGCTGGAGCTGGAGCCTGAGTCCGGCAAGGTGCTAGGACTACGGGGAACAGCAGAGCTCAACTGAGCCTCTGCACTGGGAGATGGGAACACCTGACAATGGAACAAAAATTATTTGCAGCACTAGACTGCCGTTTTTCTTTTTTATGTTTTTAATAAAGCTTATTAAACAAACAAAAAAAAAAAGAAAAAAAAAAACATCCACCATTGTCATTGTAAAAGTGGAGTTTTTTGACGCTATACTGTATTTTACCTCCTGCTGCTGCACTGTTGCCAGAGGATGTGGAGAAAAATACAGGATCTGAGGTTACTTTATGTCCAGAAATGTTCCTGTACAGGGACTCACTGTTTTACCTGACTAGGTCTAAACTACAAGCAGCCGCCAGTGAAGCCCCCTGGGACAGTGATCAGCTCATCAATGTTGGATTCCCCCAGAGCACAGTACCCGTTTGTTTTGACTGCTTGAGGCCAGTGTGTTTGCTGCATGTGATGTGTTGCTGGTTAATGAGTGGATTAACAATCCATGATGTTACTGTTGGTGCTATGCTACCTGTTGGAATCAATTTCACTACTTTGGGAATGTATGTGGTCATGTGGGGGAAGACGCAACAATCACCGGTTGGATTTACCGACCTTAGAGCTACTTTAAAGAGAGTGATGTTTCCACTACTTGGTGGGACTTAATGGTAAGTTTTCTTTTAAAAAACAGACATTGCATGTCTGCTAATGCTATGTTTCTGTAACGTTAGAGAAAATTGTTGTAAGGCTGGAGAAATTACTATGTCTGCATTATGGCAGTTAAAATATGGGGTTTCTCAACTACGCACTTTTTTAAGAGTGTTACACATCTCTTTTCATGATATATATATACCGTTGTTTACCCATCTATGGAGGAGAAATTCAGATTAATTAATGCCGCCACAGTTTTTCGTGCTGTCCCAGCATCACACCACCAGCAACAGGAGTTGTGCACGTTCACAAACTATCCTCTCATTTTTAGGATGAGGCTCTTTGGTTTTATTATTCTGAAAAATTACAGACTATTTAGAGTTATGAGGGGTGCCAAGCTAATCTAGAGGTACTTAAAATTAAACATTAAATGACTGGAAACTAGTATGCCATGGGGACTTTAAGATTAGATGACAATTCAATTACCTGTAGACCAGATGCATTAGAGAAAACACTTAGTTGGTGTTAAAACAATATTGATGTATCCCTATATACGTGAGAATACGTCTTTTGTTGCTGTCACTTCTACTCTCCACAGTGCTTCCACCCTGAGCACCTCTACACTGCAAAAAAATGAGGGACAAACTCCACAACTCTTGTTCTGTAAAAACATGCACTTCAAGGCTCAAATGCTGCTTCAGCTGTCCCACTAAACTAATTTGAATTACTATATTCCAAAGACAGTCTAAACTAATTTCTCCATTTTACTTCCTGATACAGCACCTTACTGTGCTGTGGTTGAGGGATACGTGATAGTCACATATACACAAGTTTTGGCTGGGTTTACTACTGGAGTTGTGCTCAGAGTTAACGTAGAAACAAGTTTTTACACTGCAGACTGGACAGCTGGAGCATTTTTGCAGTTTGTGATTTTGGGACACTAGTAAAACCTGTTCCGGTGTTTGGATTATATTTGTGCACGTAACATCTCAGAGTTGCTCCTCTGTGTGCATCATCTGCACTTCGCATGAAAGAGAACATGGTTTGTGTCTGCATTCATCCTGTGTGTTTTGAAAGAAACAATGGGCAAAAGTGACACAGCTAAGACTTATTCTCAAGCACATAGGGAAACATCAATATTGTTTTAACACCAGCTTGAAAAATCACTAACTATTCCATAAGACACTAAAAGTATACTCTGCAATTTAACCCAAAATATTAACATGTTTGGTAAGACCTTGACTGGAAATGCATAAATAAAATATTAATGCTACAAAGCCTATAATACTAGAAAGATGAATACAACATAATATAGACAAACAAAGGAAGGTTCTTACACATGCTGACAGATGGATTAAAAGTAAGCGCATCCAACCTACCTGTCTATCTCTGCATGCCATCTCCTGCAGTGGCTCCTCCAGCACTGCAGAGGTGGTGGTGTTCAGAGGTTTCACAGCAGCGACAGCAGATCGCTCTGCTCCTCTCCTCTTCTGGCCTGGTTTCACATGCACAGCAGGCTTCACAACAGATGGCTTCACGTTCAGTTTGGGCCTCACTGAACAGGAAGCAAAGTTGTAAAGATACATAAGGAAAAGAAGAAAGGCTTCATTTTTAATGTGACAAAGATCTGTTACAGACTTTAACAGAAACTGTGTGAATCCGAGGTGTGCGTCTACATGGCTAGTCAGGTGTCTCTAAATCTCTTTCCTCTATAAAAGAAAACCAGGTTTCTTGTTTACATGACACTGATGTATCTACAGAACGCAGACAACAACAAGGTCACTCAAATGGTACTGTATAAGATGATTGTGAGCTATTCCCTACCTATCTCAGTCGAAGATGGGCTGCCTTGGTGTTCAAACAGAAATGTGGGCTGCAAAATGAAGTATGTATGACAACACTGGAGCCGAGGTACCTTTGGTGTTTGCAGTGTGCAGTGCAGCAGGACCCTGAGGAGCTGCTCTGGCCTGCTTGATGGGTGACTTTTTTTCTGGGACCTCCCTGAAGCCGCTGGAGCTCTGTGGTTGTGACTCAGTCTCACCGTGCCATGGAGAAGAGCTCTGCTTCAAAGGGGCCAAGGTCACCGTTGTAACAGTAGTAGCTGTTGTACCAGATGTAGTAGTGGTGTTCAGAAGTGAAGCAGCTTTCGATCTGAGGGGGATCAGTTTACGAACAGGGAACTCTTGGGTGGAGGAGGTTGTGTCAGGGGTCAGAGCAGTAGAGGAAGGTGGCGTAAGACTGACTTTAGCAGGAGTCTTCCTCTTCAGAGTTCCATCAGCTGTTTGTTTCTCTGAAGGCTTTGCTTCAGATGAGGTTTTGGTCTGCTCCTCCATTTCCTGCTTGCGAAGGCGTTTCTCACGCATTATCTCCTCAAAGGTCTTGACCTTGACATTGTTACTGCTGGTAGGGCTGGTCTAGAAAGACACAGGAAATTATCATCACCTACAGCCAAAAGAATAACAAGCAACCACAGACAGTAATGAAGTGTCCTCCAGGCCATACCTCAGGAGCAGCAGTGGGAGTTTTCAGTGGTTTCTCTGTCACTTCAGCACTCTTCTCTGAAGTGGCGTTGCCTGCCGAGTTTAACATAAAATGCATGTTTTGAACACTAAAATAGTTTGTCTAAGATGAGGATTAGCAAATTCCACATATAATACAATCTGAAAAACATTTAGAACAGTAGAACTGACTATTTTGCATAGATTCCTTGTGTCAGCACATAGGGAACTACAGAAATGATGGTGCCATCTTACTTTGGGAAGCCAACTTGTTGATGCGCAGCAGCTGAGGCTTCTTAACACCATTCTCCTCAGAACCCGAGCTCTTCTTGTTTTCAGCCTCCAGGGCCTGCTGAGCTTGTATCCTCACTGCCTTCTCCCTGCGAATCTCCTCCAGGGTCTTGACTCTGACCTCCCCTACATTTGTGGTCTCAGGACCAGGGGCTGTTGTGTTTGGATCAGCATGGCTCTTGCCTGGAGCTTTCTCCACAGTGTGCTTTGCCTTTTTAGGGCTGAGGTCCTGCTCCTCCTGCCTTTTTTCCCTGGCATTAAGGATCTCAGAAAACATTTTGACATGGGCTATGGAGCTGTCTGTAATGGTGATGGCTCGCCTGATCCCCTTAGCTTTGGTAGTAACAGTTTTGTTAATTTCTGAAGCATCGTCTGAATGGCCATCATTCCGAGGCTGAGACTTTGCTGCCTTCTCCTGTCGGATCTCCTCCAGTGTTTTGATGCGGATCTGCTCAGAAGCTTTCTTCAACTCCATCTTGGTCTCAGCTGTTGTGAAAGTCGGGGGACAATAAATAGCATTTTAATGAATATAATATACATTTAATATAATTACAAGTGCCTAATCTGTCTAGACAAAATTATGGACAATTTTAAAATAACCCCTCATATTCTTGAGACTTACCTGTATGACCTTAACAGGCTTCAAAGCTAAAGAAGCACAAGAAACAAAAACAGCTTAAACAGGCATTTCCACCCTAGACTGCATAAATTATAAGCTGCATTAAAACACAACCACTTAATGTGCACACTGACAGTGACAACATTGCTATTCCCATCTGAAGATGCTCACCTTTGTGAGGGGGCATTATTGACTGTTCCTCATCCACAAATCTGCCCAGACGATCAGCCAGACTCCTTTTCAGTGAGCCAACTTCTCTACACTTTACATCTGCAGCAAGGACAAGTCACAAGTTTCTAATCTGTACTATTACCATTAAGTAATAGCATATGAATTCTACTGATAAGCTCAAAACATTCACATTTATATAGAGAGGTGTAACAAAAGATCACATTTACCAGTGTTGGGTAGTTTCCTTCCAAGTCTGTCAGATACACTGCTCCTTGGTCTGCCACTTTCTTCAAAGACAAATGGGCCTAGGTTAAAAGAGGGGCCAGGTACTGGTAGAGAACAGAATAATAATAATAATAATATTACTTATTTCAGGAATGAACAAAAATGTCCAGAAAATATCATCTATTCGTTTACGGCCAAAATATATCGCATGAAATTTGTAAATAATCACGTTCTGGAAAGAATTATCCAGACTTGTGTATCTAACTCCCTGAAATTTTGATAACCTCACAAGTTCGAGCTTTTTACCATCTCTGGCCTCGTAGACAGCTGGCTGAAAAAAAGAGTGGATGTTTTCTTTCTCTCCAGTGGCTGAGGTGTCAGCGCTTTGAATCGTGCAACCAGCTTTCTTCATGCTGGCCTTCAGGGCCTTCCTCAGTCGGATCTCCTCTAGGGTGCTCACTCCAAAATTCAGCGAGTCATCTGTCAAGACAACATTATTAAAACACGGTCACAGCATGAAGTATGCCAAGGATTGTGGAGTACTGCAGCTTTGGCCTCAAGTTAAAGTATGCTTCCAAAGTTCTGGTCTCAGTCTCACCTGACTTGGGTGGCTTTCTAGGAGAAGGGCCAACTTTGCCATCCTCTCCCTCCTCTGAGAATTGATCTAGAAATAAAGAGATGAATGGTAAAGACCACAGGGAACATTCTGTCTCAATTTGAGGCAGGGATGTTCAAATAATACTTTAAGCAAAGAAAGTAAGTCTTGAGAACACAATTTTGAGAACAAATGTAGCTTACCATCTTCATCTTCATCATCATCTGCTGGATTAATCACCACTGGTGGATGAGTGGGGCTTGGTACTGGCTCCTGAATTTCTGTCTTAATGACACCTCTGAGCTGCGGATTAGCTGCGGTGGGGAGAGGGGCAGCTGGCAGGGGAGCTGGTTCCTCATGTAGCTGTTCATCAATCTTGCTCAGACCTGAGAAAATTTCAGCAGTTATTGTTGCTGTCTTTCACGAGTGGATGTAAAATATTCTTCAAAACCTTTCTCAATTATCTGTGTGTTTGTGTAAAGGATGGCCACTCACTTTTATTAGGTGGGACGAAGATGCCATCAAAATAGCGAGGCTTTTCATGGAAGAAGACACAGTGAGGCTTCTGGCAGCCAGCTGGCTGGTTCTCCCAGTAACAAGGTATCTCCTTTCGATTTTTCTGTTTTAATGCACAGAATAAATAGCATGTAACAACATGCATGGTGGACATGGGCTGATCATATTTGAATCAGATCTGTCCATAAAATGTGCCCTAAGGCATGCAACAACACAACTGATTCCAACAGAGTGAAAAAAAAAATTTTATTTTATTTTTCAGGAACTACATCTCTTGCACACTGATGGTGTTATTGTTTTCCTAACAAAATAAGGTATGTGACTGAACAAAAAATATTCAAGTCCCTGGCCTGGCCACAGGGCTCAATATGTTTTATTTTACGTATTTATTTAGGAGCACTGGTGCAACCAAACGAAAAAAATGTAGTCACAATAATGTTAACATAATCAATTTTTTGATACATACCAATTCTGAATATTTCACAAAGTTTCAATACTCATTTTCCATAGCATCAATACACCGACATCAGCTACACTTTCTCACTCTCTCTTCTGACAATTAGTTTATGTGCACACACACACTGCTGCAGTGTCCACAGCCCTGCCTCCTCTCACTCACACACTTGCGACACACTTGTGTCTGCCTTGTCACTCATCTCGTCTTGCTCTGGTAGAGTTTCAAACTAATGACAGACCATGTTATATTGTAGTGGCATATTGCTATGTTGTTAACTCATTAAAGGTGACAAGTGCAGAGCCTCCACGACAGGTTTTGGTTAAAGACAGTACTGTTGTTTAACAATGCTACAGAGCAGTGCTATAACAACCTCTATAAAAAATTTCTAGAGGTTGTTGATCGCTCCCATTTCATCATCAGTGAAGCATTAAACAAGATGCTCCAGTAAGCTGTTGTTAACGAGGGTGTTGTTGTGTCAATGGCCTAAGTGTAATTCTTAAAGCTATAATAATAGCCTCAGAGCTATTAGACCTGAGCAATCTCAGACAGCAGAGATTCAGTTGATAGGAAAATACTTCAATTAATTCATAAATCAAGTTAGATGCTGTTGTGCTTAACACACAGTACGTGTGACAATCTCAGAGGCTCTCGAGCATGTGTACTACATCAGGAATGTTTTTATTAATGTGGAAAAAAAAACATAAGTAGAAAAAATGTGCCCATTGGTAATATCCGATACAGTCTTTCTGCTGTCTGCTAACGGCAGACATGTTATATACTTTATGTTTATACTTTTAAGCAAAATGGACAATTTTATGCCCTCAATCGGGTGTCAGTTTTTTCCTATGGCATCAAATATCAATGTTTTTTAAGGTACTAGGAAATTCCGGTATTGTGACAAGTCACACAGAAGATAATTTAGGAGCAGTCATTTTTTTTAAGAAATGATGCTGCCTGACTAAGTGTTTAACCACACAAAGGCACAAACACACAAAAAATGAACGTTCATGAATGGAGCAGGTCTGAACCAAACGTAGCTAGTGGAGGGAGGAAGACGTGAGGGAGATGATGGACACAGCCCTGTTCAGGACAATCTCGGATGCATCTCCGAGAGACTGTCAGGAGATGGCTTTAATGGAGAGGAGCAAACAAACCAATGCCCATATGCAAAACCAACTGCTTAGTCACCACCCTTAAAATCCCTCCTCTTGTAAAAGTAGACCACGATGTTTGAAAACACTTATAATAAAGCACAAATCTCACCTTTATGTAGCTTGTGCTAGTGTATTTTGGCATCTTCTCCTCATTCTAGTGTGCCAAGCACCAATTTGCTTAATACCTCCCTGGTGTAGCGAACAGCCATCTAGAGACATCTGGAGACAGGGCTAACAGCCACACCATGAAGCTGCTCCACTGGGCTCATCTCCACTACACAGCTACATCTAAATGGTTAGCTATTAGCCTAACACAATCACTATGGTTAACACATACCGGTGGTGGATGACAGACTGTGAACACCACTGAAATTATTGCTTCACTGCTAGTTTATCCTTGTTTATCAGGTGTTTTAATAAGATACTGTTATTGGCTTTTTACTCGCAGAGATTTTACTGAATGCACATTAACAACCATAGGTGTTGCCACATCGAGTAATGCTTCACCTCACCTGCCTCCCTCTCTATATTACAGCCCATCAGCTGCTATCTGCTCTGTGTACAGGAACTGAGCATCAGTCAAACACCAACAGCAGAGGTGAGAAGCCGCTCCATAAACATCTAAACCATATTTTCCTATCCACCGATCTCACACAATGGTCTATGAGTACTGGTAAAATGCTTATGGCCCTTACAAACAGAGAACCCAAGCAACTCTGAGTTAATCACCCCTTTGCACCTAGATAATTTTCCCACTCACATACTCAGATTTTTACTTGCATATGCGAATGAAATGCTCCCACTGTGAACACATGGTTAAGTTATGACTGTAGTGATGTAGCTATTACTAGTGATGTTCTGGAGGAAGAGCCAATATTTCTTTCAGTCAGTCTTATCTTCATCACAACCACTTAGATAAATAGCAAATGTAGTACACAAGTTATCTACCCAATAGGGGTGTAAACTGTTTTGGTACAGTGCAGATGTGCACCGAATACTAGCATTAATAGTAGTTAACAGTAGGCTTGATTTATATTCAGAACATCTTTTCAAATTCACGTTCCCACACAAACATATTAAGTGGGGGACCGGAGGGCAATAAACACATAGCATGATTCGTGTTATGGCCAAAACAAACAAGAAGCAGAGCTATAAGACCCTTCTTTACCATTTTTACTTGTTTTTCTCCTGTTTGGGAACAGCCATGAAATACAACAACAGAGAAGAACAAGTAGATAAGGCGTCTCATTTGATTATTGTTTACTGTGCTCCCCCCTTCATACTGACGTTCAGTTGTAATTGGGTATGTGTTTAGCAACTCAAACTTACTACCTCATGTGAAATGACTCCATGTGAACGTCAATATCAAAGAAAGAAAATGAGTGTAGTACAAGTGCTGCTTTTTTATAATTTCCCTGGTTATTGGAGCACATTAGCAGTAGTTTTCAGCAGAACTGTTTGTCTTCTATTTTATTTTTAGATATTTAATTTGTTTAATTTAAAAACTGCAAACTGTTGATGTTTACAGAAGTTCATAAAAAATAAGCAATTTTTTTACTTGTATTTTTGTACCCTCACTGTATCAAAAATGAACCAAACCATGATTTTTTTTGTACTTTTACAGCCCTGCTAGTTAGACAAAAGAAATTTAATGTCATTATACAGTACTCTATATTACATCCTAACAGGCTTGTTGTGCTTTGCCTTTACAGTGGATCAAGTGTTCCTTCCAAGAGGTCTAGAAGCAGGAGTTAAGATCCTGGCCCATGTTTGCAAGATTTTTTTTCTACCCTTCAGTAATGGCCATTCAAGATACACACAGCCTCACGTAGGCAAAGCCTGAAGGAGTTTTGTGGCCTTTCTTCAGTTTAAAATTAATATTTTAGTTCTGCTTACTGTGATCTCCATGTGGCGAAACTTGCAGATGGAACGAAAGCAGCGCCCTTCCTGCCAGAGGCTACAGACGGTCTCATTACCCATAGCTGCCTCACAATGCCTGAATGGGCAGCTGTCTCCCTGCAGGATAAATTAAATGCATTACAGCCATACACTCCACATGGCTACTTAACATCTGTATGTGTAAGGTTTGTGCTCAAACTTTCTTACTTTAGTGCAGGTGGAATAGTAAAAGAAGTAGCAGTCATCTCCATGGTTGGTCATGGTATGCGTCTTAAGGTGTGGAGGTGATGGAGTTATGAACTTAAAACCCAGCAGCTGGTTCTCTTCAGGGCCAACAGGACTCTCCCTGACATGACAGAATACAGCAAAACATCATAAAGCAAAATTCTGTTGTATTACATTAATTCACCATGAATATTTTAAACACATCTGCACATGTAAAGCTAAATTAAAGGACAGTACTGGTCATTTTCTATAGTAATAGTATTTTCAACACTATCCATGCAGAGACTAAAACTGTCAATGAACTGCCTCTATTCGTTGCTAATGTCTGTCAGCTGTCAGTCCTGGATCAGTTTGTTCATCTGTGCCATAAACCTCCATGTTGTCTGGGTGACATGTTTCTTCATTAGCAAACCACAGACCTAAGCGTGAAGAGCTGGTGGGCTGTAAACAAAACTGAGCGTTCACACAAAATCTCATGTACAGTGCCTTGCGAAAGTATTCGGCCCCCTTGAACTTTGCGACCTTTTGCCACATTTCAGGCTTCAAACATAAAGATATAAAACTGTAATTTTTTGTGAAGAATCAACAACAAGTGGGACACAATCATGAAGTGGAACGAAATTTATTGGATATTTCAAACGTTTTTAACAAATAAAAAACTGAAAAATTGGCCGTGCAAAATTATTCAGCCCCCTTAAGTTAATACTTTGTAGCGCCACCTTTTGCTGCGATTACAGCTGTAAGTCACTTGGGGTATGTCTCTATCAGTTTTGCACATCAAGAGACTGAAATTTTTGCCCATTCCGCCTTGCAAAACAGCTCGAGCTCAGTGAGGTTGGATAGAGAGCGTTTGTGAACAGCAGTTTTCAGTTCTTCCCACAGATTCTCGATTGGATTCAGGTCTGGACTTTGACTTGGCCATTCTAACACCTGGATATGTTTATTTGTGAACCATTCCAATGTAGATTTTGCTTTATGTTTTGGATCATTGTCTTGTTGGAAGACAAATCTCCGTCCCAGTCTCAGGTCTTTTGCAGACACCATCAGGTTTCCTTCCAGAATGGTCCTGTATTTGGCTCCATCCATCTTCCCATCAATTTTAACCATCTCCCCGGTCCCTCCTGAAGAAAAGCAGGCCCAAACCATGATGCGGCCACCACCATGTTTGACAGTGGGGATGGTGTGTTCAGGGTGATGAGCTGTGTTGCTTTTACGCCAAACATAACGTTTTGCATTGTTGCCAAAAAGTTCGATTTTGGTTTCATCTGACCAGAGCACCTTCTTCCACATGTTTGGTGCGTCTCCCAGGTGGCTTGTGGCAAACTTTAAACGACACTTTTTATGGATATCTTTAAGAAATGGCTTTCTTCTTGCCACTCTTCCATAAAGGCCAGATTTGTGCAGTATACGACTGATTGTTGTCCTATGGACAGAGTCTCCCACCTCAGCTGTAGATCTCTGCAGTTCATCCAGAGTGATCATGGGCCTCTTGGCTGCATCTCTGATCAGTCTTCTCCTTGTATGAGCTGAAAGTTTAGAGGGACGGCCAGGTCTTGGTAGATTTGCAGTGGTCTGATACTCCTTCCATTTCAATATTATCACTTGCACAGTGCTCCTTGGGATGTTTAAAGCTTGGGAAATCTTTTTGTATCCAAATCCGGCTTTAAACTTCTCCACAACAGTATCTCGGACCTGCCTGGTGTGTTCCTTGTTCTTCATGATGCTCTCTGCGCTTTAAACAGACCTCTGAGACTATCACAGTGCAGGTGCATTTATACGGAGACTTGATTACACACAGGTGGATTCTATTTATCATCATTAGTCATTTAGGTCAACATTGGATCATTCAGAGATCCTCACTGAACTTCTGGAGAGAGTTTGCTGCACTGAAAGTAAAGGGGCTGAATAATTTTGCACGCCCAATTATTCAGTTTTTTATTTGTTAAAAAAGTTTGAAATATCCAATAAATTTCGTTCCACTTCATGATTGTGTCCCACTTGTTGTTGATTCTTCACAAAAAATTACAGTTTTATATCTTTATGTTTGAAGCCTGAAATGTGGCAAAAGGTCGCAAAGTTCAAGGGGGCCGAATACTTTCGCAAGGCACTGTATGCACAGTTGACTCTGCCTTGTGCTAACTTCAGGAAATTATGGTTGCACAGAACCTTTAGGACAGCATAGTCGTGTCTGGGGTTTCGTTATGAAAAAAATGTGTCACCCAGTGCAACAATCTATTTCCCTGATGTGTTTTTAATAATTTTTGAACAACAGCAGAGATCTATCACACAGACGAACAAGCTGTTAAGACTGACAGACATTACTATGAGTAGAGGCAATTCATTCTTGGTTAGTCTCTATATAGAGATAGTAGCTGAAAATATTATTAATATAGAAAATTACCTTTAACAGAATAGGTGTAGATTTTTCCCATACAAAATAAACGGACGTGTTCCAACTTGTGGGAACTAAGTACATTATTGTATCATTTTAGCCTTGTAATCTGATAAAAACCTGTGACCTATTTCTGTGCTTTTAATGCAGAAGTCTCATTAAAACACTATAAGCACATGAAATGCAAACTGGGCCCAAAGAGAGCACTGTCATTTTAAGGTAGCAGTGTACTTCTGGTTAGGGCTGGGTGATATGGCAAAATATTTTATCACAAAAAAAAAAAAAAAAAAAAATCATATGTCTATTCCAATAATTGTCACAATATAATTCATATTGTTATTTCTTGACTCTGATGAACCCAATAATTTATCAATAATCAAATAATAATATACATTAATGTGAAATGTGCTATTCTGTGTAATGACTGCTTTTACTTTTTGTACTTTAAGCATATTTTGATGCTAATCCTTTTGTAATTTCACACAAGTAACATTCTGAATGCAAGACTTTTACTTGTAACAGAGTAATTTTACACTATAATATCACCACTTTTACATAAGCAAAGATTCTGACTACTTCTTCCACCACTGCTCTTTGCACTTTTGGATTCCCACTCTTTTTTTTGGGATTTATTTATTTTTTAGCCATCCCTGGTAGGCTAGTGGTTAAGGCGCAGCGCTCTCGCCGCTGCAGCCTGGGTTCGGGTCAGGGTTGCGTCAGGAAGGGCATCCGGCATAAAAAACACGTGCCAAATGTTAACATGCAAGTCGTCAGTGTGACAACTCACTGTGGCGACCCCTAATAGGGAAAAGCGAAAGTGACTTTATTTATTTTTTATTTTAGGTAATATGAAATAATACAGTGACATTAAAAAGCTCATATACTGTACCATACACAGAGCTGATCATAGTAGCTGTGAAAATAGCTGAGTGCAGTCCTCTGCTATGCAGAAAACAACGTGTGAAAGAAATAAACCAAGAAAATGTTTGATTATGTGGCCTGTTCACCAATGAGTGATGCCTTGTTTATGGGGTACAGATTTTTTTTTTTTCATTCAGTAAACCTTCACACATGTATTCTGGGATTTTAAATGGTTCATTTCATCAGTACTAACAAGCTGTTAAGCACTGTACCATCTTTACCTGAGGTGGCTGAGAAGCTGTCTGCCTCTTTACTGCTGGTAGGGTGTCTCCGTGGTGGTGAGGAGTCCTGAAGGAACACTTGATCCGTGAGATAAGAGGAAAAGAGGGTGGGTCGCCCAGAGACATTTGTCTTCCTATGACATCCCATCTCTGAGATATCTTTATCTCCGCCAGACTGTTAAATATTACAGGTGGTGGATGCAATATAGTCCTTTTGGGATTTTTTTTTTTTTTAATTAATTGGTGTAACTAATGAAATAAAGGGGGAGGGGACATAAACAGCCAGAAAAGAAAAAAATGATGCAAAAAATCTTAAATCTGATGTGCCAAAAAGGGGACAAACATGGGACGATGGGCGGGAAAAAATCCTCAGCTTCTCCTTGGGCCTGATGGTATTTTGCACACTTGGTGACAATTGGGTGATAGCAGTAGGGAAAAACGGACAGGATATTCAAGCTTCAGGAGACTTTCAGTGGTGGATTACCAATGCTGATGAGAAAAAAAAAATCTTCTGCCAATGTATTTTCATGGGGACAAGCTATCCATATCCAGGGATCCCCACAAAGGGCCAAGAAGATGGTTTTAAACCTACAAAATCAATCAAAAACACTCCCCAGGAAACTGAAAAGGTGTTAATAAGAGACATACACTTGTGCACAAATACAAAGGAGACACCTGGACATTTCCACAGAGCTACAACATCATGACACAAAAATCCGTCCAATAACGACTCCTGGGAAAACTGCTATTTGGTTGCAAGGGTCCAGATAGACTGTGGATAGACTCGCTGTCAACTCATGTTTATGTATTTCAAGTATCAAATACAGAATAAACAACCAAATATGCAACTTTCTTGAGCCCGAAACTGCGCTGTTTATTTATTCTGGACAGGAAGGCCCTTGTTCGACGGTGACGATCAGCTTGAAGAACAACTCTCCCTTTCATTTTAAAAAATGGAAAATTGCACTTGCACTGAAATAATGGGATAGAAAACTGCTAACAAATTACTAATTTGCGCTACAAACAAAATAAATAGTTTTCCTGAAACCACAACCACAATAGTCGTTATTATTAGGCATAACGCCTAAAATATTAGCAAGTAACTTTACAGGTAGCTAGCCTTCGTTGATCTTTCAAGCTATGTGCGTTAAAAGTTTAAAAACAAGCCAGTCAGGAAAGCAATAATATACTTACTGTTGAAATGCAAAGAGTAGCTCAAAGGTATCAGTAGCGAACTATGAGCGATTCTCAGCAGTGACAGAAACATATTACTCGGTAAGCATTAAATAATTAGAAACGCGTTAGCTAAATAACATTCAACAATGAAGTTTTACTAACAGAACACGCTGATGTTATATGTACTGCTACATACCCTAACCCTATGCATATTTTGTGGTTTAGGACCATTTAAGATTAAAGTTAAGTTAGCTATGTAACAAAGGCCTACCTTGGCCACCAATGTCTCACCACCTTAGCGTCAGCTAACTCTCCTTAAGACTGCTGTTTATTGTATAATTACCATGTTATTCACTTTTATATTTTAACACTACCATGTAACAGCCAAAGACATCGTGTAAAAAGATTATATTGTAATTACCAGGTTCGAAATTTAGAATAGTTTAAAACAACCAGGTTTTGTTGTAGAAAACCACAAAATCCTGCTTCGTTGACTGCCGCTGCCGCACTCAGACGTAAATGCAAAATGGCTGCCGCAGGATAAAAATGTAGGAGGGTGGGTGGGTCATTCGCTGTGCTGCGTTCGGTGCGGACGAGAAGATCGGAATTCGATTGATCGATTGTACTGTAATTAAAAAAAAAAAGGTTTCAGCGGTGTTCTGATCCCACGATGTGCCCGACCTGATGATTTCTACTGAGGAAAATATTGTGCTTTTTACTTTACTTTATAAATGCTAAAACATTATTGCACCGAGAATAATAATCCACTAATACACTATAGGTCTATCATAATAAACCCCAGTCACTTTGTGACTGATGAGTAGGCCAGATGGTTTTGCTGTGTTGTTAGTGGTTGCTGGTTAAACAATGGTGGAGGCTGGGGGCATGTACTTATGTATAAACTCTCCAAATTTCAAAGATAATTATTGTATTTGTCCCCTCTACTTTTATCTGAGACCTTTAATTTAGATTAGATTAGATTAAACTTTCTTGTCATTGCACATGTACAAGTACAAGGCAACAAAATATAGTTTAGCATCTAACCAGAAGTGCAATAGCAGCAGTGCAAAGTGTGCAGTATCTACAGTATGTACAGTCAGTACTAATTTACTGATAGATATGTACAACTGATATTTACAGTAAGATATGTAAGGTAATGTACAATATACAACAGACTTTATGGATTTAAATTACACATCACAGCTGGGGACTTCAAATCACGCGTATTTAAAGGTTTTACTGCCCAATCTGCACCAACATGTGGACTTTCCAAAGAGAGGAGACAACACATTGGACCTTGTGTACACTACAAGATGCAGCCTTTAGGGCCAGCGACACCACAGGCCTAGCAACAGCAAGAGCCAACCTGTCCCATGGAATCAGGGAGTCAAAACACCAATACAATTGTTAGGTATTGAGTAATCTATTACCACCACAGTACCAAAACACATCAGACCTGGCATAGGTCAGATGTGTAGCATTTGCCCATGTTGTAAGATTATGTGTGATGTCACACCAATCTGGAGAGATGGTACCTACATTAGTTCCAGTAACATTAGCCTTAGTTACACAAGTGTAGTTGTTCTTAACTGCAGTAAAAATAGGAGGAACGGCGTCTTTATGTGCCAATGGGTAATAATGTTCTAATTCTCTGCATGCAGGTGTTTGTGGATTTTCAGTCATGTGCAGCTCAAGCATGCAGTGTGTGTGTTTTGGATCTGAAAGGAGAGAAGGTACAGTTAACAGGGCAGGACGGGGTCCAGCACATACAACACAGGAGGCGTTAACTGATGCCTCCTCTGCCGCATTTCGAACCCAGTCAAGCCAAAAATTCTTCTGTGTAAACCCTGTTTCTATCTCCAATTTTCTTTGCAGATTGGTAGGCGGAGGAATGTGATGTGAATCAGATTTCAGAATGCCATCATGGGTATATACATTATATGGATTATGATCCTATAAGCTATTATTTCTTTGTAGCTTCTTCCGGTTCTTTCAAACCAGGAACTCTCAATGAGACGAAAGAGACTGCTTTAGATTTTATAAAAAATAACCGTGCTGGTTTATTCAGAGGATCACAGGTAAAATTCACAGGACACGTCCAGAGCTCTCTCACCCCTCTACCTGCGCGCAGGCAGCAGAAAAGCTCAAGATCTCTGGACCCAACAGCCTATATAATATTAATCATTTTGGGCTATTCCCATGCTACAAGGGGCGTCAAAACCGTGACGTCACCCGATAAGCAAGCTTTGCAGCTGCTATAACGTTAGCCAAAACATGAGGAAAAGTCAAGGTGCGTGACTGTTGTTTTCGTGGTGTGTATCTAAACAATTGGACATAACCTTACACTTTAAGACAAATATTAAGACTAGCATTACAGTTGACCCTAAAAGCTCTTTTCCTGTAACCTTGGCGTGCCTGCAATTTTACTGCAGGCTAATAGTTACATCAAACTAGTCACCCTGTCTGCACTAAACATTCCTA